AGGCTGGATTTTAGATTTTGGCTCCTTCTCTGATTGAGTTCGACACCCCTACTCCCAGTGATACCAACAACAATCAGGACTTAACTACAACAAGACTGTGCACACAAAGGGGTGCATCAAGAGTGTCTACCTCAGGTAACTGGAGAGGTTGACCCACTGGGTCATAATAGGATGCCTAGCACACACCCACCAACTCAGGAAAGCAGTGGAAATAGAGACAAACAGGTCACAACGAAAGAAATGGAGGAAAACAAAGACTGGATGTAGAGTTCAAAACCACTATTATAAGGTTTTTCAAGAATTTCCTAGAAAAGGCTGATAAATTTAATGAGACCCTTGAGGATGTGAAAAAGGACCAACTAGAAATTAAACATACACTGACTGAAATAAAAAATATTATACAGAGACCCAACAGCAGACTAGAGGAACACAAGAATCAAATAAAAGATTTGGAATACATAGAAGCAAAAAACACTCAACCGGAAAAGCAAAAAGAATCCAAAAGGGCTGAAGATAGTGTAAGAAGCCTCTGAGACAACTTCAAGCATACCAACATCAGAATTATGGGAGTGCCAGAAGAAAAGAGAGAGCAAGATGCTGAAAACCTATTTCAAGAAATAATGACTGAAAACTTCCACTACCTGGTGAAAGAAATAGACTTATAAGCATAGGAAGCACACAGAACCCCAAACAAAAGGAATCCAAAGAGGACCACACTATGACACATCATTTTTAAAGTGCCAACAGCAAAAGACAAAGAGAATATTAAAAACAGCAAGAGAAAAACAGTTACCTATAAGGGAGTACCCATACGATTGTCAGCTGATTTCTCAACAGAAACTATGCAGGCCAGATGGGAGTGGCAAGAAATATTCAAAGTGATGAATAGTGAGAATCTACAACCAAGATTATCTGCAAAGTTATCATTCAGAATTGAAGTATTCTATGAAATGCTGAAAAGTATTCTTTAAGAGGAAGAAGAAAAAAGTAAAGATAAAATTATGAACAACAAATATATATCTATCAACAAATGAACCTAAAAATCAAGTGAATTAAAAGTCTGAGGAACAGAATAAACTGGTGAATATAACAGATAATTCTCAGGGGGAAAAGGGTATGGGGGGGTGCAGGAAGATATTGGACAAAAATTATGCACTTATGGATGAGGACAGTGGGGGGGCGATAAGGGCAGAAGGTTGGGTGGGAACTGGGTGGAGGGGAGCTATTGGAGGGAAAAGGAGAAACAATTGTAATAATCTGAACAATAAAGATTTACTAAGTTTAAAAAATAAAAATTGCAGACCCTAAATCCAGAGAGTTAGTGACTTGGATTGAGAGGCTGGTAGTACCCTCAAAGGGATTCACTAAACATGTGCCTAGGCCTTGCTAAGGGTAACCATTTTTAAGGCTGTTTGATCCAACATTTTGATGCTTTTTTCCTCCTAATTTGCAGCAAATCCAACCATTCCTCCCTTGGAGGACTTGCCTTTGGGATAAAGTTTTGGTCCGTGGGTACAGAGGAATTCACACCTCATGAAATAACCTTGGGTATGACTCCAAGCCCACAATTGCTCACTAAGCCTTGGCCCACACATGTTGGTGCAATCCAGTCCAGATCGGACCACTGACCCTGTCTGGAAGGAAGGGCTTTAAAAAAAAAAAAAAAAAAAGAATTGTTTTTGGTAAACAGTATTGTGTAATATTGCTTTTTTATACCAATAAAAGCATGTTTTGTGCATGAGTAGTATTTGTTTTGATGTTCCTGTTGAAGTTAAATTACTGTGTGATATAAACAGTATGTGTTTTTATATATCATTGTGTAAATTTAATATAACATTATATGCTATAATAAATTATTTGTTTTACTGCAAAAAAAAAAAATTTGCAGCATGATGTCTTAGCCAAACCAATTTTGCTCCCTCAGTGTTCTTAAGCTTAAGTGCCACTACCTTATAAGCCAATGGCTTGGGCAACATTTTCTGTACTAAGGTAGTCATTAGTACTGTTTATCAAGTATTGTCAAACCTCATTTCTCTAATGTCTTCTGTCTCAAAAATTCAGTTCTTGACCAAGTTGTTCACAGAAAAAAAAAGTCTCAGTTGTAGACCAAAACTTTGACCTGACAGCCCTTTCATACTGATACCTCAACACAACAAAAGCAGTAAACAAAGGAGATAATCCTTTTGTTGCTGGCAGAAATTGAGGATTAGCACAATTTTAAAACAAAGAGGCCATCAAGAGTGCTAATGTTGATAAGGGTTTGGAAGTGCTCACAAAACAATTACAGGCAAATTAATAGGTAGGAGAATTTGTTGATTGGATAAATGAAAAGCAGCTGGAATGCAGTGATACATGAAAAATTTAAGGCCAGTAGGATGTGGTTTGATAAGTTTAAGGGAAAAAAAGTGTTTATAGGTTAAACAGTACATTAGACATGTATATTAAAAAGGTTAAAACTGAATCATTTGAGAGTCTGGAGAGGATTAATTCAATTTACATTACTTCTAATGGGGAAAAACAATTTGGTTTTCTAACAAATCATTCTCCAAAAGCCATTGGAAATGAATTAAGTTCAAGAAGTGAGGTTCCACTGTATTTCCAACTTCCAACTTTCCAGTCCCTGGTCCTTTGCGATCAGCTGGACTTATAGGACTCATCTTTTGGTAGCGTAGTTCATAAACATATAGTTGATATTTTATCTCTGATTTCAGGCATTTTCATGTGCCAGAAGCTGTCCTTTCTCGACATTTTCTTAACTTTGATATATTTTCTCATTCAGATGCTTCTGACTAGATTGAGGTATTTTGAACTGTTAACTGGAGAGTTATACATTCAGTCTCTTCCCCAAGCAGTTTAGTTTAATTGAGATGATTTCCTGGTTGCCACAACCTTATCCAGGCTTTTGCTCTAAAGCTGATTTTCAGCCCTAGCTGGTTTGGCTCAGTGGATAGAGCCTATGAACTGAAGAGTCCCAGGTTCAATTCCAGTCAAGTGCACATGCCAGAATTGTGGGCTCAGTCCTTAGTCGGGGGCATGCAGGAAGCAGCCAATCAATGATTCGCTCTCATCATTGATGTTTCTTATCTCTCTCTCCCTCTCTTTCCCTTCCTCTCTGAAATCAATAAAAATATATTTAAAAATAAAATAAATAAAAAAATAGACGAAACTGATTTTCAGTCTTTCTCCTCTCATGGTACACGTAAACTAATGACTAAAATTTTGCAACACATAAAAAAAAAAACAACACACACACACACACACACTTTTTTGCTGACCCGAAAAAAATAGGTATAATTTTTATTCATTTACACCAGACAACTATTCTTGTGTTGGCTGCTATCATTTCTTTATTTGACAGTCAAAGGAAAAAGATCAATGCCCCTGACAAAATAAGTATTGCCTGTTTTAAAAATCCTTGGTGGCATAGCAGTGTGCCAAGGCACATCCATTGAAAATTGCTGCTCTTAAATAATCTGCTCAGAGGTTTCAACAACAGATGTGATGGCCATGCCATTGTTCTAATCTTTCCTACAAGTAGTTGTCCCTGTTTGCCTAGCCAGGGGAATTTTCTGGGATGCAGGACTTGTCCTAAAACTGGGACACTTCTGGGCAAACCAGGACAGTCACTCTACCCACAAAATTGAGTTTGCATTGATGTTTGTCATCCCAAACATTCCTGAATTTTATCTATTGATATTACCAGTTAGGGATGAGAAGCAGTGGCTTCTGGGAATCCTGCAAGCTCACTGATTTTCTGTAGTCTCTCTAGATCCCTTGTGCCTGCTTGCAAGCTCACCAGTTTTTCTCTCGATTCATCTTGTGGTAGTTTGTCAATAGCAGCTAACAGATTCTCTTGTTTTGTTTTGTTAATCCTCACAGGAGGATATTTTTCCCATTGATTTTTAGAAAGAGTGGAAGGGAAGGAGTGCGACAGAGAGAGAAACATTAACATGTGAGAGATACATTGACAAGTTGCCTCCCGCACACACCCCAACCAGGGCTGGGGATCGAGTCTGCAACCAAGGTACCTGCCCTTGATCAGAATCGAACCCAAGACCCCTCAATGTTTGGGTGGATGCTCTAACCACTGAGAACCGGCTAGGGTCAGTATTCAAGCTGCTAAAATTTGTTCTCCTAACTGTAGATAAATTAGATTAATGTATGTCTTATAAGTTACTGCAGGCAACAGTTTTACCAAATACTCTGCTACTGGATAAGATGGGTTGCCATCCTTCCAATAAGATCTCTTTGCCGAAACGGGTTTGGCCCAGTGGATAGAGCATCGGCCTGTGGACTGAAAGGTCCCAGGTTCGATTCCGGTCAGGGCATGTACCTTGGTTGTGGACACGTCCCCAGTGGGGGGGTGTGCAGGGGGCAGCTGGTCAATGTTTCTCATCAATCTTACTGACTTTCTGTCCCTCTCTCTTCCTCTCTGTGAAAAGAAATCAATAAAATAAATAAATAAATAAATAAATAAATAAATAAATGATCTCTTTGCTGCCTTCCAGATAAGTTAAAGCCACACATATTAGAGTTTTGTGGTGTGTGTGTGTGTTTTAATTTTATTTTATATTTTGTTGGTTTTTTACAGAGAGGAAGGGAGAGGGATAGATGATTAGAAACATCAACCAGCTGCCTCCTGCACACCCCCTACCAGGGATGTGCCCGCAGCCAAGATACATGCCCTTGACCGGAATCGAAACTGGGACCCTTCGGTCCACAGACCACGATGCTCTATCCATTGAGCCAAATGGGTTTCGGCTGTTTTGTTTTGTTTTTAATTTTTATTGCAACACTGCCCTCTAGATTCCAATCTCCGTATCAGTCAATGACACACTAGCATAGGTTAGGCTGCAGCAACAACCCTAAATCTCAGTAGCTTAAAACAACAGTTGCCTAAGGATGCACTCCCATGAAGCAGAATGGGGCCCTCATCAAGGAATGCCCTTCGCCTTCACTACATCTGCTCAAGGGAACAGCATATTCCGATATTCCCAAGTATGAATTTTAAATCTCTACTGATTATTAAAGTGAGGCCTTAACTCTGGTGCCACCTTTTCATTTTACCACAGAGGCAACAGAAGGAAACTCAGCGACTTAGACAATATCACTGAACCAATTGGTGGTCCATCGCCAACATGCAGCCTTTTTTTCAACATCACGATTTCTTTTTCATGGACTCTTCGAAATGCAACATAACAAAATACACCTATAATGAGCTTTCCTACCCCTGAGGTATTCTTACACAGGCACAAGCACGAGCAAGTTGTGAGAAGCTTTCCTGTGATGGGGAAGATTGAAGACTGTGGGTTTCCCAAGAGCCTTCCTTGGCTCACTGCTGTCTTGGCATAACCTTAGGAGACTCATTGTCCTCATGTTTTCGGGGAGATTGAGTGAAAAATGGAATAGGCTTTATTACCACTAGTTTGTAGTGAGTAAGAAAAGGGAGAGAAAAGCCTTGCTCCTCCCTAATTTGTTCTTTCCTCTTTTTTTTTTCTTTTCCTGTTGTTGCTACCACATTCCTGATGTCACTCCTGCTATTGTGAGCTGGCAGGCCGGCCCTCCCTGGTCGGGAGGACAGCCTGCCAGTCAGGAGGAGAGGAGGAGCTGTGGAGGTGGAGGGTGGGCAGCAGTGGTCATACAACACCTTGCAGTCGGGCTGGAGGTGTGGAGCCCCGGGATGTTCCCCAGCCCATTCTTCCCAAGAGTCAATGCATAAAATCAGGGGCCTCCCTGCTGAGGTCAGGGAACCAGGCCCTGGAGTGGAACTTGGAGTGGAAGATGGCCTTCTTTGTCAACTGATTCATTCTCCAGAATTCAACTTGTTCTCCCACTCTGCGGTGTTTGAAAGCAACTTTATCCAGGTACCCATGGGCAGCTCAGGCCAGCTCTTTCCTGTTCCAAATCCTGTTTCTAGCACTCGGTCCAGAAATGTTATGGCCTTAAACGCCCCGGGGAGGAGAAAGAAGCTATACCAGCTATTGCTACCCCAGGATCTGGGTCTCAAGTTCATTGTTTGTGCCTGTAGCAGTATGGGGTTTTTCCTCACTCTCCTCCCCTTCTGGAACTTTCTTTGCACAGTCTTTCTTCCAGACCATTAGAGACCTGTGCTGGCTTCTTCTGCCCAAAGATGGCAGAATGTAATTTTGGTTCCCCTCAGCTTTTTCTTACTAGTGCATCCTTTCTAAAGTCAGATGATGCAGAGGATACAAAAAAGGACAACACAGGGTTCCTATTGTCAAGGAGCTTGTCTACTTGGGGAGATCCACCAAATAGGTGATGCCCCGCTCAGTGTGGCATGTTCCAAGCTTGTCACTACGTTGAAATGCTGCTTTCTTTATCTTTTCTGTTTTTTTTTTTTTAAAGGAGGTGTGCAAGAGGCAGCTGATCGATGATTCTCTCTCATTGATGTTTCTAACTCTCTATCCCTCTCTCTTCCTCTCTGTAAAAAATCAATAAAATATATTTTTTTAAAAATTTTATTGTTTCAGACAGAAGGAAAGAGTGATAGAAACATCAAAGATGAGAGAGAATCATTAATTGGCTGCCTCCTGCATGCCCCCTAATGGGGATCAAGCTCCCAATCTGGGTATGTGCCCTGACTGGGAATCAAACCCTGACCTTCTTCTGGTTTATGGATTAACGCTCAACCACTGATCACACTAGCCATGGGCATTTAAAAAATATATTTTTTTTATTGATTTTTCACAGAGAGGAAGAAAGAGGGATAGAGAGTTAGAAACATTGATTAGAGAGAATCATCGATCAGCTGCCTCTTGCACACCCCCTACTGGGGATGTGCCTGCAACCAAGGTACATGCCGTTGCTCGGAATTGAACCCGGGACCTTTCAGTCTGCAGACCGACGCTCTATCCACTGAGCCAAACCGGTCCCGGCCATTTTTTTTTTTTTTTTTTTTTTTTAAGTGCTGCTTTCTAGCATCTGTATCCTTCCACTCTGTCTTCTGCTTCTCTGACCCAAGGACCTGGGCTGATTTCTAGGTCACTAAGTCCGGGCACTGGATGAATGTCTCTGAAGGTTCAACCACCACCGTGATCCTTGGGGTAACGTCCTCAGTGCCCTCCTTGCCACTCCCCAACATCCTCCTGATGGCCAACGTCTCCTGGCCCCATGGTCAGTTTTCCACCTGCAACACACCTGGCTGTGCTCCTGTCATCACCCTCAGCAGGTAAAGGAAGGCCTCAGGGAGGGGCCAGAAAGGGTGCGTTGACAGACTGCAATTGGGCTTTAGACAAAAAGAAAAGACAGCCCTAACCTGTTTGGCTCAGTGGATAGAGCATTGGCCTGCGGACTGAAGGGTCCCAGGTTTGATTCCGGTCAAGGGCAGGTACCTTGGTTTGTGGGCACATGCCCAGTAGGGAATGTGCAGGATGCAGCTGTTCGACATTTCTCGCTCATTGATGTTTCTAATTCTCTATCCATCTCCCTTCCTCTCTCTAAAAAATCAACAAAAGATTTTTTTTTTAAAAAAGAAAGGACATGTTCCTTAGTGTATACACTGTACAGAACCTCATTCATTCATTTAACAGGTATTATTTCGTATCTATACAGAACAAGCACCGTGTTTGGTGCTTTGGGTAGAGTATCAGTCTGTCTCAGCCTAGTTTTTGAGGATTTTGGCTTTCATTTTTATTTTGTCAATAAAACCTTAGGAGGGTTTTTTAAAAAGTGAGGTGTGTGAAAGCCAAATGGGATTAAGAGGTGTTGAGATTGAAAAAATAATCCTGCTTGTATAGGAGACATCTACTTTTCTTACTCTTTCAACAGTTAATCAGATACAGGGCGAAGGAGACTTGGAAATGGAGTCAGAATATCTTAGCCCCTGTTCCTACTTAAGATCTAAGTGGAAAAAAGTTAAATAAATATATTTAAAAAAAAAAATAAACTTGGACACCCCTGGGCAGGTGCATTTGGTTACAACATCATCCTGATATCCCAAGGTTGCAAGTTTGATTCCCAGTCAGGGCACATACAAGAAGCAACCAATTGCCCTGGCTGATAATGGCTCAGAAGCTAGAGTGAAGAGGGTCTTGATTTGAATCTCTCAGTTGCATGTGAGGGAGGCAACCAATCAATGTGTCTCTCTCACATCAGTGTTTCTCTCTCTCTCCTTTCCTTCCACTCTTTCTGGAAATCAATGAAAAAAAATATCCTCTGGTGAGGATTGATAACAATAACAAAAAACAACCAATTGCATGCATAAGTAAGTTGAACAATGTTTCTCCTTCTCTCTCTCTCTCTCTCTCTCTCTCTCTCTCTCTCTCTCTCTGGAAATCAATAAATTAAAAAAAATATCTAAATATCTTGGGCAAATCACTTAATTTCTTTCTCTAAGTCTCAGTTTCAAGAAATCTGTAAAATGGAATTAATAATAGTTATCTTTTCTTAATAAAGAGTTGTCAGGATTAAAAGAGATAGTTTACATCAATTATCAGTCATTGTTATTAATGTGGGCAGATTCTTTAATAACTAAGACCCTGGACATCAGAGAAGAGCCAGACTTTGTAATCATTCCACTGTCATCCACAAGCCCCCTCCCCTGTGCATTCCCCAAGCAGAGGTGGAAGCCCAGTGAGGCTGAGCCACGCTCTCAGTAGGTACCAGCATGACTGATTCAAATCCTGGGCTCATGGCAGTTTCTTGATTGTGTCCAGGATTCTCCCCCTGAAATTTGTGGAGCTACAAATCTGTGACCGGCTCCAACGCATCCTGCGGATTAGGACAGTGACTGAAAAGATCTACTACATGAAGCTCCACGAGAAACACCCGGAGACTGTGTTTCAGTTCTGGATCCGCTTGGTGAAGATTCTGCAGAAAGGTCTGTCCACCACCACCAAAGACCCGAGAATCCAGTTCACTCACTGCCTGGTGCCCAAGATGCCCTGCAGCTCCACTGGAACAACAGTGAGTGGGGCCCTGCCACCAAGATCTCTAGGGAGGGGAGGAAGTGGGGGCGTACTGCCTCCCATTGTGGGGGTTGAATATTGAAGTCTAGTGTCCTGGGGGAATGAGAAGACCATTTTCAAGGGTCAGTAATATGCACACACCAATTACAGCACATTAATTTAGTTTTTCTAAAAAAGAGCTATAAGGTACTTAACTCAAAAGTGTCTTCCTTTTTTTGCTCATTTTTTTTCAGCATCATAAAGGAATAATGCTTACTTTAGAAAATTACAGAAAATTCGTTCCCATTTTTCTTCAGACCCAAACAATCACTTGGAACATTTGGCATATTTCTTTTTAATCTTTCATTTCATTTTATTTATTTTTTAAAAATATATTTTATTGATTTTGTACAGAGAGAAAGAGAGAGGGATAGAAAGTTAGAAACATCGATGAGAAAGAAACTGATCAGCCGCCTCCTGTGACACCCCCCACTGGGGATGTGCCTGAAACCAAGGTACATATCCTTGATTGGAATCGAACCCGGGACCCTTCAGTCCACAGGCCTATGCTCTATCCACTGAGCCAAACCAGCTAGGGCAATACATATATCTTAAAAGCTCTTCTTATACATCATATCATTTTGATAATTTTATACTCTTCAATTGTATGAATGAATTAAAATTTACTTCATCCCCCTAAAATCAGATATTAATTTGCTTATGTATTTATTTTAAAATACGTTTTTAATAATATTAGAGAAGAAGGGAGAGAGTGAGAGAGATAGAAACCTGATGATAGAGAAACATTGATTGACTGTCTCCAGCACACCTCCTACTGGGGATCAAGCCTGCAACCAGGGCATGTGCCCTGACCTGGAATTGAACCAGTGACCTCTTGGTTCCTGAGTCATCACTCAGCCACCGAACCACTTCAACTGGGCTAAAATTTGATATTTAGAGTTGTTTCTAACTTTTCATCAGGGGTGGAGAAACTTCTTTCTGCAAAGGGCCATTGTATATTTATAGCATCATTCGAGGGCCATACAAAATTATCACCTTAAACATTAGCCTGCTATATTTGGTCAAACATTTAATTAATTCACCCCTAATGCCTTGACAGGATGAGATCAAATGATTTCAAGGGCCTTATACGGCTCATGGGTCATACATTCCCCACCCCTGTAGGAGGGTAACACAAGCATTTATAGGTACTAGTGTTGTCCTCAGCTTTTATTGTTCACTCAGAATAGATTTTTAGAAATAGAATTCAAGGGGTCAGGGGTGGGAGGGAGAGGGGAGAGGTCAATGGGGAAAAAAGGATTCATATGTAATACTTTAAACAATAAAGAATCTAAAAGATGGTAAAAAGAAGTAGAATTCAAAGGGTATGAACACTTTTAAGGTTTTTGATACATACTGCCAGATTATTTCTAGAACGTTCATACTAAATTATACTCTCACCGATAATATAAGAGTTCTGTATCACTGTGTTCTTATCACACTTGAGCATTAAAAAGTAAAAAAGTTTTCTAATAATTATAGGTTAAAAAAGTAGCATGTGTTCAATTTTGATGAGTTTGAACATTATTATATTTTTTTCTTTATGCACGGTCTGGTTTGTTCTTTGGCCATTTTCCTATTGGCATCCTTGTGTTTTGTAAAATAAAGCTTTTTATACATCAAGAATTCTAACCCTTTAATCACAAGTTTTTGCAGTATTTCCCCCAAGAATTTGCTTTTCCCTTTTAGTTTATTTAAGGCTCCTGCCCCCAACACACAGAGGCTTTCTCAGGACCTGCTTCGGATAAAACCCTGGAAAAAACAGACTTGATAGATTGGGTAGCCTCAAACCTTCAGATTTCAGGCTCCTAAACACTTTCCTCCTTTCATTTAAGTCGTGTGCTTTAGGTACTCCATCACCGACTTCAAAAGTCAGCCTTTATAGTTCTACTGCTCTGGTTCCTAACGGTGAGATCTGCTGCTCAGGGCAGTCGCCACAGCAGCTCCTCGGAGAGAGGGCCTCATTGTTTTTGTCTGGTGATTCTGGGGCTTAATATTGAAGGAACGGGTTCCCAGGACTAGGCTGGAAGACTCATGAGAGTTCCTTCCAGGTTCCGGCCGGAGGAGGCCAAGAACTGTGAGGGAGACCTGGTCCTATAACTGTCAATTTCTCCATCCAGCCTGAAAGCAGCCTCCTGCCATCCTCCCAGACCAGCGAAAACTCCTTGCTGTGGAAAGCCGAGCAGACTAGCGACATTTTCTTACATTTCCCAGGAAGAGACCATATCACAGAAGACAGGTGGGTCCTCCATGCCAGCACCCCTTCCCACAGCACAGAGCCATGGGCGGGGTCAGTGACACCTGTCAATCTATCGCTGCCCTTTTATATTTCCTCCAGACAGTTATGCTTGTGACTCTCCCCTCAATGTTATTGTAAGCCTGTCCTTGAAAACCGGGTCTGTGGCTGATTGATCTGAATAGTCTAGGCTAGGGGTGTCGAACTCAATCAGAGAAGGGGCCAAAATCTAAAATCCAGCCTAAATCGCGGGCCGAATGGTTTACTGAACAGTCATAAACTGTCATTGTGATGGAAACGCAGCAGAGTGCAGTGATGACAGCGCGGTGCGGGCCACATTGCAAAGCCTGGCGGGACGGATTTGGCCCGCGGGCCTTGTGTTTGACACATGTGGCCTAGGCAAACCCCAGTGTTTTCTTTTTTAAATATATATATTTTTATTGATTTCAGAAAGGAAAGGAAAGGGAGAGAGAGATAGAAAAATCAACGAAGAGAATCATTACTGGGCTGCCTCCTGCAGGCCTCTTACTGGGGATTGAACCCGCAACCTGAGCATATGCCCTTGATGGAAATCAAACCCAGGACCCTTCAGTCCATAGGCTGATGCTTTATCCACTAAGCAAAACTGGCTAGGGCAAAACCCAGTGTTTTCATGTGGAAGGTGCTCAGCAGAAGAATGAGGGTAAGCTAAAAAAGCAGGCTCATGGAGATAGATATTGACTGTCTACATTTCCAACTCGTGAGGATCCCTTGGATAAGACAATCCTGAGTTCTCTTTGCCTTCTCTATCTCTTCTGTGAAGTAGAGACAGTAACCCAATGGGGACACCACTGCTGACTCCAGTTTCACTAATTTACTAAGATTCTGTAATGAGTGATAGAAACCCAAAGCAAGACCGTGCAGCCAATGTGTTGAACAAGTTCGACTTTTGAGTATCATCGAAATGCAAATTTATTTTTGTCTTCCTTTATACGTTTTTAGTGGGAGAAATTTTCCTCTTTCCTGAGTAGACACTGGTTCTCGGGGCAGGCCCCATAGCATGTGGAGTCCCTCTTAGAATATGAAAGGGCCTTCGTTCCCTTTAAATAGTATAAGCAACATGGATTCTGAAATTATTGATAAAAAGTCCAGTGCCTAAAACCTATAAAACTCTGAACTGATCACATCTCCCTTCCCTCAGCCTGGTCCCCTGGTAAGATGGCCCCTCAGAGTCACTCCTCTTCTCCTTCTGTTTCCTAATTTTAAGTTGGACTTTTTCTCTTTAGCACTTTCTTGGGTTCTTTGAAGTCTCCTACCTGGCTCCCCAGCCCGCAACTCTGGTGATGCTGTGAGACCTCCCTTTCGCCTGGCCACCGCCCTGCTCTAGCACTGGCTCTGCAGGGGTCCATGCTACCCAGGCACTAGCTGTCAGAGTCTCTCATCCCTTAAGGGTTTGAGTAGGGTTTACAATGACTCCAGGCTGGTGTTCTCTCTCTCTCTCTCTCTCTCTCTCTCTCTCTCTCTCTCTCTCTCTCTCTCTCTCTCTCTCTCTCTCTCTCTCTCTCTCTCTCTCTCTCTCTTTGCTCTCTGCATCTGGTCCTCAATAATATCCTCCCAGAATTTGTCTGGCTTTTGGAGAGGAGGACAGTGCCTCTAGGGACACAGAAGCAACTTCACTTCATCATCAAAGAAACCCATTCTCCCATCTCCCACCCTCCATGTTTTGTGCCCCATCTCTACTGGGTCTCCCAGCCCCCAAAGGATCACAGCCGAAGCTCTCTGGGTGGTCCCAGGAAGTCCCTCTCTTTCACCTTGAGGAGCAAGAGGCAGCAGCTCATACAAAGGACTTTCTCTGAATGCTTTCCTGACTCACTCTGGGTGTAGTGGAGGCCACACTCACTCAATTCTCCCAGGTCACAGTCTGCCTTTATCCGTACTTCCCACACCTTTTTCTTTTTTTCCTTTCTAATTTCAAGGCAGTTTTCTTGAATTGCAAACTTTTCTTCTTTGAGTACTCTTATTATTTGTATGTTGGATTATCTTTGAGATATATATATATATATCCCCTTTCTTTTTTATTTTTTTTTTTATTCTTTAGACTTCTCCCTATCCCTCTATTTCTCTTAAGGCATTATGTGCTTTGCTTGTTTGCTCTTGTGTTCTTTTATAAGTTTTCTCTCTTAGCCGAGACTAGCACGGCTAGAGAATGGATGAATCCTGAGTAGGGACAGCTGGGGATTGAGAAAAGGGAAAAAAAGAGACAGACACTAAGACTTTAAGTAAAACTGAGCCCAGGTGGGGTGCTGTCCTCAGATGGAGAGACAGTGACCCAGAGCTAACTCAGCATATTTATTATATACAGCATGATACCAGGAAGTATTAATATTACTAGCATTTAAGACAAAGGAAATTATGTGAAATCATGGTTAAAGATCAAGCTGCAATTCTTCATTCTTGTGGCTTCTTTGTAATTGTCACTCAAGGCTGAGCCCGGATAGTTGTGTCAGTTCCTGGTTGAACTTACGTAGATAATGAAACCCACCCTGGTGTCTGAGCTGAAGGTCAGGCTGACAACATACCTGCCTCTGGCAAGGTATGTATCCAGGACGTGGCTCTGCCAACACCACCTGAGGCAGCTGGTAATTGCTCGTGGGCCTTCCCAGGTGCTATCTATAATACATTCTTTCTTGCTTTGTTTTGGAAATAATGGTTGTTTCTTTTAAAATGTCTAATTGTTTTCTCATTTTATCACCACATTTATCAATATTTTAAATTTTAACTTATATTCTTTTATATATTCTATCATTTTCTTAATTTATTTTAGCTTATTTTCAAATGATAGATTGCAGTTTACATTCAATTTACACTACATCTTTTTTTTTTTTTTTTTTGGTGTGTATGTGGGGGGGGTGTTAAATCTCATTGGACCCATGACTTTATTTTATTTATTTATTTATTTATTTATTTATTTATTTATTTATTTTTAAAGAAGGCAAAATTATTTTATTAATAAAATATACAATTCAAAATTGACATTATAGTCATACTCAAATAATAGTTTCAGGAAAAAATTATGCAAAAATGTAAAAATACAAGAAAACAATAATATTGTATCAAACACATTTAACACATTGCACATAATTTCGGATCAATTGATTTTAGAGAGAGAGGGAGAGACATAAACATCCATGTGAAAGAGACACAGTGATTGGTTGCCTCCTGCACATGCCCCCCAATCAGAACCTGGGATCGAGCCTGCAACTGTGATATATGCCCTTGACTGGAACTGAACCCAGGACTCTTCAGTCCAAGGGCCTATGCACTGAGCAACTGGCTAGGATGTGCAGCACATCTTTTTAGTGTGCTTTTATTGTCTTCAAGGACTTATTATATTTTGCATCTTTTCTTATATGACTTTGTGTGGGTTTTGATTATGATCCCTTTTTTAAAAAATATATATTTTATTGATTTTCCACAGAGAGGAAGGGAGGATAGAGAGCTAGAAACATCGATGAGAGAGAAACATCGATCAGCTGCCTCCCACACCCCCCCACTGGGGATGTGCCCGCAACCAATGTACATGCCCTTGACCGGAATCGAACCCGGGACCTTTCAGTCCGCAGACTGACGCTCTATCCACTGAGCCAAACCGGTTTCGGCATGATCCTTTTTTTGATGCAACTTATTTTTATGTGAAATGGTTTTTCTCAACCTTTGAGAATGACAGATGGGCCAGGGTGGCTTTTGGCTCCAGTGCTTCCTCTTGTGTCATTTTTGTGAAGCATTAATGACCTTCGGGGACTATGTTCCTCCTCTCTCTTATCTTCAGCTGACCTTGCTCCTTCCTTTGGCTCTGTTGTTCCTGTTCTATTCCATTTGTATTCCATTTACATTGGTTTTCCCCTACGATGAGGCTGTGCCTGCCAGGGAGAGTATTCTGACGGTTCTGAGAGTTGGTAAGGCACATCCTGCTTCTGCTCCTTGACACTGACTTTACCATGGAAGGACCCCAGTTTCTACTTCCAGTTTTCTTCTTCTCTAATTTGCCTCCTGCACTTTCCACTGAGAATCTGGGGAGATTTTAAAGTCCATCAGATGCCTCCTGCCTCTGCTTCCTCACACGCAGACCCCGAAGTCATGTGGGTCTTGGAGCTCTCCGCAGCTGTCATTTCCTTCGTGAGTTTCTCTCAAACAGGCCATTATCTGTGGGACTCATGTTGCTGAACTGGGAAGTGGGGGAGAACCGTTGTAAACTTGCTTCTGCCAGGTAGCTCATAGATATTACTGGCTCTGGAGACATTTTTTGTATTAGTTTCTCAGCTTGGAAGTGGTTGGGCCATGTGTCAGACTGCAAACCAGCACAAAGACAGGCCCAAAGATACGAATTTTCAGAAGAGGCTTCCTTTGGACCCAGAATCCAGATTGATATAGACGAGTTTATGGCACTGGATGGGTTTCTTTCTGGTGTGTCCTTTTGCTGAGAAGGTGCTTTGTAAGTCCTGGATTTATGCAGATACCTCAGTAACTCCCCTCGTGGCTAAGGCCCACGATTTAGCTCCTGTGTCACCACACCTTGGTTACCAACTCTGGCAAGCCCCTCGGGCAGCCCTAGCTTCAGCTCACATTTGGCTAGTCCCTTGGGATTTTTTTAAAAAACTTTTTTGTGGGTTCAACAATGCATTTAAAATTATGTTAACTATATTTTATCTACATTTCTAGGTGTTTTGTGGCAAAGAGGTGTTTTTTGTTTGTTTGTTTGTTTTTTAAATTATTCAACCACATTGCCAGTCTCTAGCGAAATAACGCTAAAATGATTTTCACTTAAGAAAACAAAAGCTCGCTGCCTTTATCTCTGAATAGTTACAGTGTGGGGGATTTTTATTTTGTTTTGGTGTTTTATTATAGCTTTATTTTTTTCACTTAATGTAAGTATGTATTACCCTTGGAATAAAAATTTTACAAAATTTTAACTACACTGTGTGTTTTTCTAGCCACAGCCTCTGGGAACAAGAGAATCCAGAGTTCTTCCCACGGGCTCCTGTAGCCAGTTCTCTAAGTGGTTGTGATTTTAAATATATATATATATTTCTGTTGCTTTCAGAGAGGAAGGGAGAGGGAGAGATAGATAGAAACATCCGAGATGAGAGAGAATCATTGACCAGCTGCCTCCTGCACGCCCCACACTAAGAATAGAGCCTGCAACCTGGCCATGTAGCCTGACTGGGAATCAAACCGTGACCTCCTGGTCCACAGGTCGATGCTCTACCACTGAGCCACACCAGCTGGCCCGTTGTGGTTTTTTTAAGTCGTCAATGTTTTGGAGAACTGTCTGAAGGTTTCCTTTGCATTCATGCTGACTTCAGGCAGGTTGCAGTGGGCTCCGGTTTTGCCTTTGAACCATAACACATTTGGTTCTCAACACATCAGAGCAGTGCCGAAGGCTTGGAGGAGTGTCTGTTCCATTCAGCAGAGCAGCCTTAGCTCCAGCCTCCCTCCTGCTTGGCTTTCTCCACTCACGTCATTCTTAGATACATCATCCCATCTGTACGTGTTTTCACTGCCCATCATTTCCATAGTCACGTCCGTGTTCAAGCCACTCATGCTGGAAAGACATAATTAAAAAGCAGTTGACATAATGAACATCTTAACCATGTTTTCTTTTTCTTCTGTTGTTTGCAAGGACCCCAAGGTTCCTGGGTTCCAACAGAACACAGGCCTCTATAATTAAGGATTCCGAGAGCCACAGCAGGACACCTTTGCCGGCGGCATCTTCAGCCGGTTTGCATGTACCTATGAGAGCCGTGATGGGCCACAGCCTCTGGGAACAAGAGAGTCCAGAGTTCTTACCACGGGCTCCTGTAGCCAGTTCTCTAGGAGAGAACTTACTGGGACCCTAACACCTACCACACCGGGCGACCTTCCTGGCTACCGCCTCCATCATGCTGTTTTCCCACTGTGGGCCACGTGACCATGGGAGAATAAGATGGGGTCTAAAACAAGGTGCTTCTGTACTTCCACCAATAAACCTCCAAGTGGACCCCGGATTGTTGTATGTTGTGCTCTGGCCGAGGCGGGGTGCAGGGGGAGGGCCGTGGCGGGGGGGAGGAGTGAGGTTTGCAGGGAAGGACTGATTGGGAGCAGGAGCTCACTCCATGGGAAAATAAGTGGGGGGAAAGTTCTCAATTAAAATCCCAAAGCAGCCGAGCAGAGTCAAAGAAGCCAGTCCAGAGGAAATGGCCAGACCAGATGTCCAACTTCCTCTTTCAGAGGAAGGTCCAAAGTGAAAGAAATGCTCAGCCCCGGGCCGTGGTTCTAAGAGGTCAGGGCATCCGAGGGTCGCAGAGGTTTGGTTTGGTTTTCATCCTCATGTGTGGATATTTTCCCATTGGTTTTTAGAGAGAGTGGAAGAGAGAGACAGAGAGAAATAGCCATATGAGAGAAATACATCGATTCCTTGTCTCCTGCATGCACCCTCACCAGGACCCAGGCCAGGGCGGAGCCTGCAACTGAGGTATGTGCCCTTGATTTGAATCAAACCCAGGACCCTCTGGTCCACAGTCAGACACTCTATCCCTGAGCCAAACCGGCTTGGGCAATTGCAGGTGTGATTCCCGGTCAAGGGTGTGTACCTGGGTTTCAGGTTTGCTCCCTGCTCCCCTGTCGGGCGCATACGGTAAGCAACCAATGTCTCTCTCTCACACTGATGTTTTTCTCTCTTCCCTCTCTCCCTTCCACTCTGTTTGAAAAACAGTGGGAAAATTATCCTCAGGTGAGGATTAACAAAAACAAAAAAGAAAGGAAAGAAATCCTCAGAATGATGGTGGCCAACGGGGAAATACCTTTGTGTTGCTCCACTCACGTAAGCAAGAAACTGAGTCTGTCCTGCCCCGCTGTAGTTATTGAAGGCTTACCAGGCCATGCCCACTTTGGTTGCTAATGAAGACATGGCTTCAGGTAAGGAAGATGGTGACCACCCATCCTTGGGAGTCCTAATTGGTGGGACTCTTCCACCCGGGACCTAATGGAAGCAAACTGGAAAGCACAGCGTGTGTGCACAGCAGGAATAGGGCATGGGCTTTGGCCAACCTCCAGGCAAATGGGGAATATTTACCTGAAAAATACTACCACAGCGTTGAATAAGCATTCACAAAGTTCCTACTAGGTACCAGACACTGCACTTGATGCCTGGTAGATTAGAGAGAACGAGACAGGTGGGCAAGTTTCCTGCCTTGAGGGAGTGTATGGGAGAGGTACCACGCTCTAGTGCGGAGACACAGGAAGGCCATTAAGGTTGACAGGAAAGTTGAGCCATTCGGCCTGCAAATCCAGGTGGCCCTGCTCTGCTGTGGTTCACACTCCAGGCTAGAGAGTGATGGAGGGAGAAGGAACATGACTGCCCTCCCTCTGTGCAACCTCAGTAGGGCTGAGTAGTAAATCCTGGCGAGACTGGGTCAGAAAAGCACCAGAGCTGAGGGAATGCGTGTGGGTTTCTTCCTGCCTCTAATAAAAATAAAAACAAAACAAAAAATGTTTTGCATGTTACAATCAAATAAGCTGAGTATTGTTGGTGCTGGTGAGAGACATCCAGAAGCTGAACTTAGAAGAGGCTAATGGTTCGGGGCTGGCCAGTGACATGTCCAGGCAGGAGGTCAGAGGGGGAGGGAAAATGGGGCCCAGACAACTATCCCCTCCCTCGTAGTCACGTGAGGCTGGCTATGTCTCTTAACAGAAGAAAACGGCTCCTTTTGAGTCAACTCTTCTAGTCAACTCTCTCTTTCCTAGTTCCACTAACCATCTCCTCTTGCTGCCCTTCAGGGCCCTATCCTGCATCTTGGGGATACCAAGGGAGTTACTAATAACCTTTCGGTACCACAGGTCATAAGGGGTCTCATCTTCAGTAAGGATCCTGCTAGGTCACTTTAGCCAGAATCCCCCTTACCCCTCATGTTTCCTCTTAGTCATATTCCATCCACTGTCTCTCTCCCCCACCCCCACTCCCTAGCCCCACTTGGCTTTTTAGCTAGAAATTTCCACTTGTCCAAGCTGTGATTGAAGTTGAGCCCAATCTCCCTCCCTTGGTGCAAAGTTTCACCACGCCTTTATCTATGGTGACAATAAAGTCTTCCTTACTGTGCTTAAAAAAAATTCCACAAGGGGTCAATCTTGAGAAATCCAAGACCATGGTTTCAAAAGAGGAAAACAACCACAGGGGGTGGTAAAGCTTCATAAAATGAGCATTGAAAATGGACACTTAGAAACATTAATGTTAAGGCCATTTACAGAAGAAACACAACTTAAAACAACCAGACTTACTAGTAAAACAATCTAGGGATATTTGAGAGAGGGCAATTCTGGTTTTTGCTCTACCTCTGATTCCTGCCTGACTTAGGATAAATCAATGAATTTCCCCATTGGAGATATGGATTTTAAATTAAAACATCATTTAAGCCCTAGCATCGGCCTATGAACTGAAGGGTCCCAGGTTCAATTTCGGTTAAGGGCGCATGCCCAGGTTGTGGGCTCATTCCCAGTAGGGGCATGCAAGAGGCAGCTGAACAATGATTCTGTCTCATCATTGATGTTTCTATCTCTCCCTCTCCTTTCCTCTTTGAAATCAATAAAAAAATATATTTTTAAAAAATCACTTAAAATTTAAGTATCCCCAAACAAAACACTGCTTTTGAAGGTTAATTGTTGCAATCATAACTGCATTCCTCCCCTTACTGCCATTAAAGGGCCATAACTAGATGCAAGACGAATGTGGCCACTGATAATAATGGATTGGCACACACACATACTCAGGCCTTGCCATTTGTAAATGCTTTGCATTTTAAAAAGTGACTTCACAACTACAATCTAATGTGATTCTCATAATGGTGTGAGGTAGCTGCTATTATGAACTACACTTCTGTGGACCCTGAGAAAGAAGATACCTACTAAACCAAAACCGGTTTGGCTCAGTGGATAGAGCGTCAGCCTTTGGCCTGAAGGGCCCCGGGTTCAATTCCGGTCAAGGGCATGTACCTTGGTTGCGGGCTCATCCCCAGAAGGGGGGGTGTGCAAGAGGCAGCTGATTGATGATTCTCTCTCATCCATGTTTCTAGCTCTCTATCCCTCTCTCTTCCTCTCTGTAAAAAACAAACACAAAACACAATAAAATATATAATAATAATAAAAAAAAGAAGATACCTACTAAAAAGGGCTCCTGGTGGCTAAAATTAAAAACAACAGTAACTCAGAGCCTAGCAGCCATTTCTACAAAAGGGCCTCTTATGAAAACTGCAATTCAGGGAGAAGCCTGTACTGAATTGCCTGCCTGCACTGTTCCTGGCCTTTGAGCCAACCCTTATATATACCCTTGAGGCCAAGTGTGTAAAATCGTGCAGCCGTGTCCACCTGCCCACTGCACTCACAGCCATGCCTGCCTCGCTGCCCGGCCCGCTCTCCGGCCTTGCTGTGATCAGAGACTGTGGGGCCACGGGGGAGGGCCCAAGAGGTACACCACATGGTGACTGGTCGTTTGGTCATTTCAGTCATGATGCCTCTTGGCCTTTTATTACTATAATATTTTTATTTTTATTTTTTTATTTTATTTTATTAATTTTGTACAGAGAGGAAGGGAGAGAGATAGAGAGTTAGAAACATCAATGAGAGAGAGTCATCGATCAGCTTCCTCCTGCACACCCCCTACTGGGGATATGCCCGCAACCAACGTACATGTCCTTGATCAGAATCGAACCCGGGACCCTTCAGTCCCCGACACTCTATCCATTGAGCAAAACCGGTCTCGGCTACTATAATATTTTTTAATCTTCACCCAAGGATATGTTTTTATGGATTTTTTTTTTTTTTTGAGAGAGGGGTAAGGAGAAAGAGAGAGAAACATTGATAGGAGAGAAACATTTATCTGTTGCCTCCCATACCCTGACCAGGGATTAAACCCAAAACCTAAGCATATGCCCTGAGCAGGAATCAAACCAGCAACCTTTTTTAGGCATATGTGACCATGTTCTAACCAACTGAACCATCTGGCCAGAGCATGAGCTAGCCATTATAAAGGAGTTCCTGGAATCATATTTCAACCAATAGGACTGAGGTTTTCCCCATCCAATCGGAGCTGCACAGCTATATCCCATCAACATTTCCACCAACCAATCAGGGCAGCTCCATTCTGACTAATTAGGATGGTTCCTTTGGACCAATCAAACTGTGAGGATTTGGAACCCTCATTTGCATGAGGACAGACCAATCAGGGATCAGAGGAGAGGTCTTCTGTCTGTTTAAGTCAGCTCCCTTCTGACTCTGAACATGCACCTAAGACATGCAGCTCCTGTCAGGATCCGAAACACCAAAGATATCTCACAAGAGAGAGCAGACCAGCACAGCTGGCAGGGCCTGATCCCAGGGCTGCCTCACAGCCATGCTGTGTCACAGTTGAGCTGTTCCACAGCTGTGATGTATCACAATTGAGCTGTTTGCACTGAATAAAGTTTCCTCTGTACCATACCCCAAGTTGGGGATTCCTGTTGGTGTTGACTTGGCGTCCACAACCACCTCTTGATACCTACCTCACAGGTGAGAAAAGTAAAGCCCAGAACACCTTCGCCTGAGCTGTGGGCAGTTGGTAGGTAATTCTCGAAATCCAGAGGTCAGTAGGCAGTGCCATCTGGGCCTCTTCTCAGAGGGGTAGTCCACAGCATGTCCATTCCTGTCAGCCGTCAACACCGACCCTTTTGGTTGCAGACACAGCCCAGTCTAATTGGCAGGCCTTGGGGCCCAGGCAGCTTCCAGACTGAATTCTTTCACACACCTGTGTAAGCAGAGCAGACAACTGCCACCAGGTGGCGCCACATTGCCACCGGGACTTGAATGGATTGAATTTACATCTCCTATCCCCATAGCTGAGCAAGCTAGCGCCAGGGATTTTAACTCTAGAATAACACTATCCCACCACAGTTGACTATTTGGCGCCCCACTTATAAATCTATAGTGGAATTTTACCGTTTTCACTAGCCAATTCCATAAACTTT